CGCCTTCGACTATCAATGGATCCTTTCCGTAACTCGTCGCTTGACTCGCTTCGGTTGTGGACGTGCCTTGATTCATATCAGGACACTTTTGGTTTGTGGGTGATGGATTAGATAGAAAACGAAGGTCCATCGCACAATATAGAGCAATGGCATTATAAGACAAGGGTAAAATTGAATATTGAGGACTTGAGTGCTCTGAATAGAAAGGTTGAGGATTGCACTGTATTTTTTGTCCAACCGTCAATTAAATTTTGATAACTAGTAATCTATTTAAAAAAATTGGCAACTAGCCATATATATTGCGGGATTGATATAGAATATAATACATTTCCCAGTCTACCTTAAAAATATTGTTTAATTAACCGTGGATAATGTCGCATACAAATAACAGTGATAGTTTTGATGTCTTTTTCGATGGATAGGGTTTAATGTATTACTGATCATGATTGTTCACCAACACAGTCAACTTGAATGAACTTCTTCTCAATTAATCCTTCATTGGTGCCACTCAAAATAACGAATTTTATAGCCTTGGGGTGGTTCTTGGCCCTTCTGACACAATCTATGGCCTCTATCTATGTAGAGATGATGTCAATGCGAACATTTGTGAAAATATATGTTTAGTATTAATTAAGAGAGATTACTGAATAATATAGGTATATTGATCGTCAAGTTAAACAAATATTGTCATTGTCTTAGATTTTGTTCAAATGGAATAATAAAGAAGAATCAAGTTATAAACGCCTTGTTGGGATTTACAATTGATTTCTAGTTTTAATCCAAATTTTAAAACATCACACATAATGAAACTGTAAAGATGAACACAAGGACACCACAAAATGTTGACCCAGTTTAGCCAATAAGCCTAATCTGGGGAGCTCAGGAGTAGCCCGTGCCATTAGTACAATATTTTACCTTCCAAGAGAGCAAAATTATACGAAAAACCACTCAAACCAAGTTTTAGTCACTGATCTATTAGTTCTTGTAAAACCAGTAAATGACCCAGCAGAAAACCAACCAAAACTATATGGAGTTAACCTACACAAATCAGCCACTCTTTCAGACCTGATTGTATATAAACACAACACACTCCATTGGATCAATTACAAAAAACTCAAAGACTAGAAAGCTAGAAATTTTCAATCTAAAAAGAATGAAGTAAGAGCCAAAGAGAGAGAAATTGAATAGTCTAGAATGAGCCCCAGAAGTCATATGATTAAAGCCACCCAAGGTAAGGTATAGATTCTAATAATAAATCTCAGCCCTTAATTGAATCTAACGGCTTAGACAGGACCTCAACTAGCACAATCCTTGTGCATGCCAAGTCGCCAATAAATGGATGCCACT